TACTATACTATACTATACTATACTATACTATACTATACTATACTATATTATAATATATAATATTGTTTCATTAACAATAAAACTGTAATGACGGTATTTACATGCCTACCGCTTAACAGAGCCGGTTCCTGAGGTAGCTGCGCAGTGTGGGAGGAGTGATAGTTTACGTAACAGTTATGTCGCGCTACACACGGGATAATATCAATAAGATTTTTCTGACGATATTCAATAGCAAGTGGATTGAAAAACTAAAGTACTTAGGCTTATTTTTATTACTAAGAATTTAAGTATGTATTTGTATTTCAGAGCAAAATCTTTGCACTACATCGAAATTCAAGACTCCGTTTTCGAAGTCAGGTAAGGCTAGCCAAACACTATGCGCACCCTTCGTGTAATAAGGCCATATCTGCAAAATGACAACACGCATGCAGTCTGTTACGTCTTTTAAATGGTAACTAGGTTGTAATGGTAACTAATGGTAACTTTTAATCCTAAATGTTAACATTGGTGTTGAAAAAAAACGATATTTTTATAATCCCGCAACCACCTACGAATGTTTCTAAAACGACCTGTGGGGCTAGCACGACAGGACGCGACTTGTGCGAACATAAAGCGCTAGGTCATTCACTTTCATTCATTCATTCACTCAAAGAATGAAAGAAAATTGTATATTCCCTTAATAATTTACTGCACAGTACACACACATTATATGATTTGACACATAATACGATGCAGTTATACAAAATTTATTAGTAATTAATTCGACTTAGTAACCAACTAAATAAATAAACTAAGTACTAAAATTGGAATAATAGAGTGTGTTCTGTGCTATCAGGTACAGAATGCGTCATCCGTCACCCACTCAACTTAATGTCGTCTCACTGCGAGTCGTATTCCAGAACTCTACCCACCGCTCAAATCAGGACTTACTCAAGTGTAGAATCTGTAATCGGACTTCACCTGAGTAATGTGAGGGGAAGTGAAAGCTTGAGTCTTAATTTTAGACATTGCTTGAAATTCATTTCAGTTTCACTGTTTCTTAAACGGTACCTACTCACAAAAATTCTCGCGTCCGCAACGCTTCCGCGGCCGCATCTGTGTGGCCAGAGCAATAATGCTCAAAATCAAGTAGGTGACGCTGAAATTTACTAATGGAAATAAAAACTATTTGTTACGATGATCGATTGGGAAAAACTGAAACCGGCGGTGATCGCTATAATTCCTAAGATAATACTTTTGGAAATTCATAAACGAATGCAGTATTTAAAAAAAGTTGTTATTGTCTCAATATATGCCAACAAAAGAAAGCTTGCAATTGAAACAACCTAGATTTTAACTTAGACGTTTAAATTATAACATTCTAGTTGGTCCATGTCAAATAATCGTAATTTTTTCGCTGATTATTATGTACTCAAGCGCAATCCGGACCTCACTCAAGTATATACAGATTTCGACAACGCTCAAGACAAGATTTTACAATTGAGTAGGTACCGTTTAAGAAACAGTGAAACTGAAATGAATTTCAAGCAGTGTCTAAAATTAAGACTCAAGTTGTCACTTCCTCTGACATTACTCAGGTGAACTCCGTTTACACATTCTACGCTTGAGTAAGTCCTGATTTGTACGTTGGGTAGAGTTCTGGAATACGACTCTCAGTGAGACGACATTAAGCTGAGACGGCATTAAGCGTTGCGGAGGTACCACGAGGCACCCGTCGCGTTGCGCATAAATCTATTTTGGAGAGCTTGCAGGCGGTGTACAAGCGCGGGATTTGCCTGAACGCATGGGACTCTGGCGATAGTCAGTCTAAGTTTTAACTATTTTGTAAAAATAAACTTTGTTACGAATAGACAACGAGACAAATGCGCAGAAGTGTCGTCGTCTCTAAAAGAGTGCGCTAAGGTGCTGGCTGATTACGTGTGTGAACAGATGAGTGGGCTGGCACAGGAAAGAGATTGCTCCATGCCCGGCGTTAACTTACACTTGGCAGATTTGATGGTGAGAATCATTTACCTTACCTCACATTCATCTAGGTCTAATTCGACTTCAGTACAGGAACTTACCACGTAGATACTCACTTAAAGTTACCCCCTGACTATGGACCGATAAGAACGTTCTTATCTTAAACCAGAACGTTTAATTTGAAAAAAGAATACTGTGATAGTCTTTTGATTTTAATTTTTTTTGTGGCCAGTGGTTCGTTTATACGTTGTTATCGTAGGTAATTCGACCTTTTTTAGCGTTCCGGTACCGCAGAAGTTTGTGCTTACTGGGCCTTAGGGCAACTCCGCCACTGTATTTAGACATTCATTCAATAATGTTTACATAAATAACTTCTTTCTATCGTAGCTACAATATTTAGCGACAAAAAACGTTTTTATTTTGTAGACCCGCGAGTAAAAGACACTAGTTACGATCTATGATTTTGATGACCGCTTGGTCATCAAAATCCTCCACATGCTTACTTTTAAATTGTCATGTAATAAGAAATAACACAATCTATAAATGTCCCGACAGATGGATCTGAACTCACGTGTAATTGGTCTGGGCTGGGTCCGCGTAGGCGGTGCATTGGAGCGAGCGCTTCTTTACAAGGTACTCGCTGACCGCATCGGCCTACCCTGTGCCCTCTACAGAGTGTCCAGCGCACACGCTTGGTGTGAGGTCGCTGTGCCTGACTTGCCTACGGTAATTGTTTCCTGCCTATTCACGTTAATACAATTGGTAATAGCTGTATCCACATGAGCCATGTAATTGGTGTAATACCGGCGGAAGGCATGCATGTGATGGAATCCACCGGCATGCGCCGGGATCCACCGATATGCGTCGAAATCATTCGACTTTTCGATTGCATAGTCGCTAGAGGAATGAATCAAGTCCGAGCGACACTTGGTATGTTGGTGGATGCCGCAGCATTCCAGCGGACTGCAATACGCTGAGCGCTGACAGACGCTCGCGGTATTGTAAGGGATATCCCTCATCAGTGCATAAAATCCTCTTCAATGCTCTGCCCCGCCGTCCGTCGGTTTTTGCTGGCCCTTTTTTAAGTAACCAAGACGTGCGAACTGTATATGGTGCTACCTGATTGAATAAGCATTTATGGTCTCTGGGACTGCTCATTGTTGTAGGTATTTTTTCGCACGGAGGGTGTGTGCACCGCGCTCAATATGGCTTATGGGGAATTAAATTTTATCAAGTAATTAATTAGTTTTATTAGCAATTAATTTTGGAACATATGGAAATAATTAGGTATACAACAGCAGGGGTTGTATAATAAATGAACAATTGAATTTTGCATCATCACCTTTATTACCGGTATTTTCGGGTTTCAACAATAGCAACACTGGGGGTAGCGGGATATAAATACACCAACCGTTCTGAACGAGCTGCCACCGCAAAGCTCTGACGGTATCTTCGACGCACCCCTCATCTGTCTCTCCTGATTGCAATTTTTAACGCCGCTCTGACCAACTGCATCTTTCCGCAAAAGTGGAAAGAGGCGGTGGTCATCGGTATTCACAAGACCGGGAAATCTCCATCTGAACCCTCCAGCTACCGTCCCATTTCCCAACTTAACACCATGGGCAAACTTTATGAGCGCATCCTCTACGCCCGCCTCAGAGACTACGTCATGTCCCACAATCTCCTCCCCGACGAACTGTTTGGCATTAGAGCTAGGCACTCATGCGTCGAGCAAGTGCACTGGATAGTGGAGCATATCTCCGAAGATTTCGATCGCCCCCGCTTCATGCCCACCGGTGCCCTCTTCTTCGATGTGGCAAAAGCTTTCGACAAAGTGTGGCACAACGGCTTACTTTACAAGCTGTACAATCTCTGTGTGCCTGTTGTCTCGTGCACATCATTCGAGACTTCTTGTCGAATCGCTTCTCTCGCCCCTCCTATTTTTCTCTCTGTACACTAGCGATATTCCGAAATATCAGTCAGTAAATCTTTGCCGACGACACTGCGCTCTATTATTCGGTGCGCAGCTCCAAATTAGTTTCCACAGCTCTCCAATCTGCCACCACACGCCTAGGCGAGTGGTTTCGCAGACGGAGAATCGAAGTTAATCCCGACAAACGCGGGGCGGTATTCTTCACGTGAAGTAACCTATCCAGTCGTAGGGTACAAAACCTCACCCCGATCTCGCTCTTTGGCTGCCTAATCCCTTGGGTGAACACGCTCAAATACTTAGAAGTTGCGCTCGATAGGAAGCTGTCTTTCAAAGCACACGTGAAAACCGTACGTGATCGCGTCCCACTTTGTAATGAGCCGCCTCCACCCACTTCTCAACAAGCATAGCAAATTCTCCCTTCGTAATAAGGTAAGATTGTACACAACCTGCATCCGCCCATTCATGACGTACGCCAGTGTCGCATTCGTTCAGGCAAATCCCGCGCTTATACACCGCCTGCAAGCTTTCCAAAATAGATTTATGGGCTACACGACGGGTGCCCCCGTGGTATCTCTGCTCCTCACCACCCCAACCCCCTCGTGGTGGCTGCATCCAACTACGACCCCCTCAGGGAACTCCCCCACCACTTACTTAGGACCAGTCGGCTAAGGGAAGTCCTCAACGACCCTGACGACGCTATCACTCTCGCCACTTTGAAGGCCAACCAGATCGCACATCAGTCCTCCATCTCCACACGCACCAACCGTCCTCGCCGGCGAGGTCATAGAGCCCCTCAGTTCAGCACGTACACTGGTAGATTCTCACTTATAGCACGCCCGTCTGGCGGAAGTCTTCAGTAGCGCCCTGAGCCGAGGTCCGTGCCCACTTGGGCGCCCTCAGGCCCGCTACTTGGCTTTCAGTATATTTTACGGGTTATAATCAGATCAGGGTCAGCTCGCCCATTTCTTCCGGTGGCGCAGTCAAGGACATCAGCCGCCAACTGCAAAGTGTCCTTCAAAAAAAGAAAAAGAAAAACGAGCTCACTCTACGCCCGAGTGTCGAGCAGGCGAAACACGTGGCGGGTATATTTTTGGTGGTGGTTTGTGACTGTAGTTGCGCTTGTGTTATTTATTTTATTAATTTTATGCGGAGGGAGGGTGGGACAATTAACTGCATGAAAAAATATGCAACACAAGCGCAGCTATTTTGCACGATTTAACCTTCACTGGGTTCGCGGAGTAGCAAATTAAATTACTTCCATTTTTATTAATTTTATCAATGTTGACGACTAAAATTTTTCTTATATTTATGAAATGTCTTAACAGGAGGAGCTAGAAGAGCACACCGTAAAGCAATACCCAGCGGGTCTTCTTCGTCCGAATTACGTAGTGGATCTCACATTACAGCAAGGCAAATTGCACCCTGTTGGCAGTGTCGAAGCCCGCAGGATAACAGGACCGAAATGCGCACCATTGTACTTAGTTCGACAACCACCGCGTATCTGTGTTTGTGAACACAATGAAAATAATCATTTATAATCATAAATTTCTCTATACCTATATTTTCTATTTAATATATTCACAATCAATAGAATCAAGTGGCTTATGTCACACTCATCGAGTATATAACCAGAAATAGAGACGTCATTACTGTGACAACTGCGCTCCGATTGGCCAGCCCGAATTCGAAACATTTGACGGGTGTCGTCAATTGTTTCACTCAAATCAATTTCAATTCCACCAATTAACTTGAGCTTTGTTATAATGGACGAAAATTAGCAAAATTACATTTTGAATATTTCATTACCGATGAAATTTGATTCCGTTTGTTTTGTAACTAGATGTTTTGCTGTTTTTCCCCACCCCACCGAATTGAACAGCACGCCATTGCTAGAGATATTATCCTTATTACAATAAATACAGAATATTTTTGGAATATACGGAGACGTACACACAGGGCTACCCTATGAAACAGACCAGCTAAGTGAAATGCCACACGGGCATTGCGTCATCGCAATTGCGTTGATTACAAAGGACTGGGTGCCACACGAGCTGTTCCGTCTACGCGCACTGTTTCAACGCACCGTGTGGCATGTCGTTCTGATTTACATGTAGTACAAAGCAGTTGCAACGACATAGCATCTCCTTAAGCGGTAGGAAATTAAACTCCCGCGTGTCAAGCCTTCCTTCTTAAAGGGTACCATTATTATAAAAATAATTCAATTTTCCCTGTTCGATCTTGGGCAGAGTATTACAAAATCGTCGCCTTAATTTCTCAAACTCGTATCTTAAAGCACAAAGTTACTAAAGTGCAAAAAATGGATTGTATGTACTAATTTTGCAGGCTGATTTCATATCACATTTCCTTCATATTCACACTGACTTTTACCTATTCTTAAAGTAATACATCCAGAATTGACACCCTTGATAAGAAATTTAAAATAAACAGGAAGTTTTGCCATCTCCTGAATCACTCTTTATAAGATACGAGCTTGAGAAAATAAGGCTTCGAAATGTTAGAGGCAGTATTTTACATAAAGAAAAATATTTAAAAATAATAAAATATATAATGTAATAAAAATAATATATAATAGTAAAAATATCGACCCCTCCGACGTAAAGTATCGTATGTCGAAATTGCCAAGTTTACAGAGGAGCCTTTTAAATATTCTGAATTCACTGAAATAAGCACAACATGTGACTTTAGCATTTCTCAGTTTTATTCGACAAAGCTCGTTACTCACATAGAGTATTATAAAATCCTAGATATCGTTTAGATGATGTATTAGATGATCACTCTATTTGAGTAACAAGCTTTGCCGAATAAAACGGAGAACTTTAAAATGCTTTTCTGTAAACTTGGCAATTTCGACATACGATACTTTACGTAGGAGGGGTCGATATATCGGCTACACATCTTTAAATATTTATCTCGTTCAACCTGTCACCTGTTTAATAGGTGTTTAATTTGACAAGTGCACAATTTTTTCCACTCTTCCCTACCACGCCATCACTGGTCGGGACAAGTGGAATTTCATATACTGTTCTCAAAACACTCGTTACGAAATATTCATCTCTGTTTCAATTATTTATTTATAACAATTTATTTTTAATAAAGTTAATTAATTTAATTGTATTAAAACCAATTAGTGTTTATCTGTTTGTAACTGTTTTTGAAACTGATACATTTCCTAATTCGTCAACAGATTATATACGTCCCACTGTTGGGAACGGGGTTCCTCCAGTTCCTCTAAGGAGATGGTTTAGGCCAAAGTTTGCCCCGCTGTCGGGCTGCTAACTTTCTTCAGCGTGCAGGTTTATTTGATTTTTTCCTTTCCCGTTAGCGAGAGGTGCTACTAATAATTCACAAATGTACGTAACTTGGAAATGAAAGTCATAGTAGGTGGCTGCACGCATGATTCACCTAGGGTTTATTTGAATTAAAGAAGTGTACAAATTTGAATAGTGAGAATAGCTAACGAGAAAAGAACGATCCTGAATGCTAAAGACGCGGGAAAACGATTGGACATTTGAAACGACACGACGGCTTCTTTAAGACCATTTTGGAGGGAAAGATCTAGGGGAAGACGGGAAGAGGTGGACCTAGGCGTAGTTACATAGACCAAATAAAGGAAAAGGCCGGTGTCGTGTCGTACAAGGAGTTCAAGGAGCTGGCTTGTAGGAGAGATGACTGTGACTGGTAGAGGCTCCGCCGTATAACTCTTAAGTTTGATGATGATGACAAATTGAAAAACCGTTTTGACAGCATATTATGCTTACGCATATGATTGCCTGAGTTAAGGTGTTGTTTTATGGGGTAATAGCACACCATACTCACAACCTTTTTGTTCTGCAAAAAACATGCATAACAATATTGATGAATATAAGAGGAACTGAAAGTTGCAGACCTCAATTTTCTAGTTTTTGACCCTAGCTACTATTAGCAATTTGTAAATTTTTAAGAAAATATAGTTATCTAGTTTGTTATAATTATTAATACAAAGATCAAACACTTTGTAGTGTCTTTGTATTTGGTTTTTCAACGATTTTTTAGCCGTAGCACCATCTATGAGAAATCTATGAAAGTATTTCGTCACCCAATTAGATACCTTTACAGCTACCAGCAGGGTAGAGATGTCGCTATTCACTGTATAAAATTATATTGAATTGATATTCAATAATTTTTTTGTGAAATTACTCCACTACTTTTTTATAATTATTAATACAAAGATCGACCTCTTAGAAAAAATGCCTTCGATCCGGCCGGACTCAGACGTCTTCTAGCTATTCTATAGTAATTTAATAATTAAATAAGATTTAAAATATAGTCCTCTTTTTCAACAAGATAAAAAGAAATACATTATTGGTTCTTTTACAAGTTTGCAGATTGTTTCTTTAATTACGCACCACATGGCAATAAAGATTTACAATAAAATACCAGTCCCAATAAAAAATATTGAAAAGGAACTTATTTGTCAACAATGAATGAATTTTTGCTGTCGAACACTTTATATTTTGCAGGAGTTCTTCGATTATAATAAATGCACATAGTGAAGCAAGCTAAATCGCTGTGTCCTTGTATGTGGCGGGTGTTATGTAATAATTTTATGATCCTACTGTACATGTCTCTACAGGGATTCACGTCGCCGAGTTTTTAACTGAGAAGCAACATTCACCTCTTACGCTAACCTATATAATAATATTAGCTGAATAGAAGAATTGGGGTGCGTTAACTTATTTCACCTGAATTGTTCACCTAAGTGCATTAAGTATACTTTTTTAAAACTTAAATCACCTAGGTGCATTAGATAAACATAAAAGTAAACTGCATTCACTCCTTTATTTAATATGGAACCTTTTTGTCAGTGGGACTCTGGCTTTACTCATGTGTTCTGGCCACTTGAGATAATTGTAATAATTATTTGTATTGAGTTATTTTATATTGTAATTGCAATATTTATATTGTAATTGCAATAAATTTATTTGTATTGAGTAGGTTTTATAGGGTTATAAAACCTACTCAATATTATATATTATATTTATAGGGTTATAAAACCTACTCAATACAAATAAATTTATTCAAGTTTTTTCCGCCGTTTCCTCATGCTCCCACTGGTAGGAGCAAGAGGAAAGACTAATATGTCCTTATGCTCCTATGGTGACGTGTCGTATCTAATATGAACACTGAACTAGAATAAAATTATATAAAAATGAAAAAAGTGAAAAAATCTTTATTTCATGGGTAAGAAAATCACAGTTAAAAGCGTCACTTTAGTTAAACTCTCCTGCTCATTCGTAAGGCAGATTACTCTGAGAAGAATGAGCAAGAAACTCTAGGGGTTGCTCTTTATAAATAACATTTGTACACATTCAACATTTACAACATATATTTTTTTTTTTGTTTTGAAACATCAGAGATCGAGACTACCTCCATGAGCTAAACGGGTTGCTACCACGGATTTTTGTCATCCAAGTACGCAGAAGTTGTATAATAACCTTTAGTATAAAGTTTTTATTTCACTATAGTTTTAAACCTCGTGAAAGGCAAACTTTGTATATCAACCGGAATCTTTCAAAAGTCCTTAATTACCTTAATTAGGTATTTATTTCTTGTGCTTAGGTACTTTGTATATGACAGTTCCATAGTGTTTCGACCTCTGAATGACTAAGGTTGAAGTTCCTTTTTTCTATCCTCTAAGGGTTGAAGTAATAGTTGAGTAAGTAAGTAAGAATGAAGTAAGTTAATGTTTTGAGTAATAGAGTGTACAATATAGATTTCAATGCTTATCTGTGGCTGACCGAGTTGTTAAATGTCTATATAAGCATTGACACGAGCTTTAACTGAGCATTTTAGATACACGTGCAATACGTAGGTCGCTAAGTTAAAAACTATTGTACGATACAAAAACCGTATAGGTAGGTAGCTGGGCAATGTTGCTGGAGAGCCAATTTTTTTTAACATAACAGACATACGCTTGGCTACAATCTCATCTGATTGTATGACCGACGATAATACTCATTTGTCTAAAAAATGCCTATTCACTGTAATCTTGAGTAAGACACAAAACATAGACTTCATTCCTTTGCATTAGGGAGAAGGAAGGAAAGTGCTTCGTGCGAATAGGTGTTATATCAAAGAAATAAGGATGGAGTGTTCCGGATTTTCTAGTTGGCCGAAGAAGGAACAGTGAAGATGAAGCCAAATTAAAAAGTGCGTAAGCAGGCCACTTTTCTGGGGTGCTCGAGATTTTGAAGCTTCGACTCCTTTTACTAAACAAAAACCAGTATTTTTATTTTGCTACCACAAAATTATTAATTTTTTATTTAGAAATTAATTAATTTTTATTTCGAACTCAAAAAAAAATCTTTTAATTTAACAGAAACAGAACCCGCGTCATGTGGGTTACGGGGTGAATATCTCATGCATAAATTTTGCGTGTCTAGGCTGGGAATCCTGGTGTAAAGAAATATAATAACTTATTTTTTATAGTTTAGTTAGACGTAAAATGAGTTTAGGGCAAGAATTTCAGAATGTTTATTATACAATAATAATTAATAAAAAATGTTGATGTCCTGATTTTCAATTTTGCTGGTGTGTCGATACACTATTACGAAAAACAATTCCATGTATGATATTCACTATTAGAAGCACTGACTAAAATTATTGAGAATATTATAATTACCCTTTTTTTGGGAGATTGGGTACTTGATCAAAGTTTGTCCACGCGAAAAGTGCAGTTTTGGTGGCTCGAATATTTGTTACTGGTTGCAACTGGTTTAACTAAAAACCAATACGTTCTTGCCCCACATAAGTCTCAGTCGTGTATTGGGACCTGGCAGTGAAAAAGGTTAGAACTGTTTTCCGTTTCGCAGCAAAAACGTAAGTATACCCTTTGGCAAATATTCAGCTGGTTTTAACTAGTAAGTAGTTTACATAAGTCGACGATAAAAAACGGAAAAACCCAATACAAAACATTTGTAACAAACGTATAGAGAAATTCGTCGTTCGACGCAGTTGGTTTTGTAGAGCGGTGACTCTAGTTCGACATACAGACGCAGGTCCTGTCCAGATTTATGTAATTTTTCTTGGTATTCGATCTTTGTGTTTATAACTTACAACATATTATTTTTTTTACTATACTTATGGTCGTATTCTAGAACTCTACTCAATACTCAAGTCAGAGTCAGGACTTGAGTATGATTCAAAGCACTAGAAATCGTACTCAAGTGCTTGCCATTATGGTCGTAATTCCAGACAGACATAAGACTGCAGTACTAATTAATATGTTTTAGTTTATTCTAATTTCTATTATTAATTAATAATAAATTGAACTTAATAAAAATTCATTCAATAAAATAATTTGTAAAACTTAATGTAGCATAAATTGGAATGTTTCTTTGTAAAATTAAAAATAAGGTATTTAATTAATAACTATTGTAACTATAGTGAAAAAATAGGGTGGTTTGTATCAATATTAGACCACCTCAGTCAATCGTGACCATGGGAAACGTCGGTTTGTTTGAAAAAACAAATATACGCGATTTAAATCCGGAAAAATAGTTTCATTTTCTATGTGTAACAATCGCGAAAACGTAAGAACTCGATAAAGCCATTTGAAGTTAGTATAGACTCTTAATGTAAGTAAAATAAAATCTTATACCATACAAGTTAGTAAAGCAAAAATAGATCTTCGTCAGCATTTGAAAGCACTTTGAATAAAATAAATGCTAATTTTAACGAGTTTGAATTAATTATGGAAGACAGTTTAAAGCGGATTTTTCCAACCAAAAAAAACGTAGTAATATGTGGAGATTTCAATGTAAACCTGTTGGAAAACTGTTCTACTTCTGTAAGACTCATTAATTTATTTCAAAGTTTTAACTTGATTAATCTTTTTTTAGAACCAACTCGCATTACTGCCTCCTCTTCTACTTGTATTGATAACATCTTTTGTAACACAGACGCAGTGTCTAAATCAATAATTAATTGCTTAAGATCCGACCATAGTGGCCAATTGGCTTCTTTTAATTGTAAAATGAGCAAGAAGGTAGACCAATTTCTCTGCAGACCGATTACCACAGAACGAATAATTAGATTTCAAAATAATATCGGCAATAGTTTAAATTCCCTATCCCATATACCGGAGGATCCAAATACTTTATATAACACGATATTTGGTTTAATTAAAAATGAATTTGACAATATATTTAAATCGAAAACATTAACTTTCCATAGAGAGACTAAATTCAACGACTGGGCAACAGTAGGTATTCATAAGAGTAGGTCTCGTTTGTATGAGCTATATGCTATGAAAACTTATAATAATAATTCCAATTTTATAGAATATGTTAGAATTTATTCGAAAATATTTAAAAAAGTTTGTGTAGCTGCTAAGGTTAAGTTTCACAGCGACAAAATTAGACAATCGATAAATAAATCTAAAACTACTTGGAGCATAATAAATAAAGAGTCAGGCAGGGTTAAACTACACGATAGAGATATAGTTTTAGAATTAGACAGCAAACTTATAAAATCTAAAGATAAAGTAGCCCAAGCTTTTGAATCGTTCTTTTCGGAAATTGCTGTGAACACTACAAAATCATTAAATTCCTCCCCTTCACTTGCTATTGATCTCCTAAAGGAAAATGTTAACGTTTGTGGCAGTTTATTTAATTTTCGTCATGTTAATCCACAAGACATCATAAAAGCTTTTAAGTCAATACATGTTAAAAAAACTGAAGATCTCTGGGGCATATCAACTAAAGTTATAGACTCAGTTATTAATCTCATTTCCCAACAGTTAGCTGTAGCTTTCAATAGGTGCGTTGACGAAGGTATTTTTCCCGATTTAATGAAATACAGCAAGGTTATTCCCTTATTCAAAAGCGGTAGGAAAGTTGATCCTAGCAACTATAGGCCCATTTCAATTTTACCAGCTTTAAGTAAAATATTCGAAAAGGTTATGCTAACTCAATTACTGTCCTTTTTCGATAGGAATCATATTTTTCATAGTGAACAATACGGGTTTACTAGTGGTAGATCGACTAGCGATGCGGGGGTAGCGTTACTAAAACACATCTTTGATGCTTGGGAAAGGTCCCAGAACGCTATTGGTGTTTTCTGTGACCTCTCAAAGGCATTTGATTGCGTTGATCATAATACTCTTATTAGGAAGCTGGAACATTACGGTGTAAATGGCAAGGCGTCGAAACTTGTCTCGTCATATCTCAACGGTAGAATTCAGAAAGTAGACATAAATGGAGTAACTTCTTTGGGTTCTCCAGTAAAAATGGGTGTTCCGCAGGGCTCAATACTTGGACCTTTCTTATTTCTGATTTATATTAATGATCTGCCATTCTTTGTTAAGGACCATTGCGAAATAGTGTTGTTTGCTGATGACACATCCATGATTTTTAAAACAGACAGACATGACATTAACCATGACCGTATTAATGATACCCTCTCTAAGGTAGTTTATTGGTTTAATGCTAATAATTTATTGCTTAATGCCAAGAAGACAAAATGTGTTAAATTTGAATTACCTAACGTAAAATCGACTAGTCCAAGCATAGAAATAAACGGAGAAAAGTTAGACCTTGTTAATAAAGCAGTCTTCTTGGGAGTGACCTTAGATAGTAAACTTCAGTGGTTTCCACATATATCGTCCCTGGCCAGCAGATTAAGCTCCGCTGCATACGCAGTCCGCAGAATACGTGAGCTTACCGATGTTAGTACTGCTAGACTAGTTTACTTTAGTTACTTCCATAGTATAATGTCCTACGGGATTCTCATGTGGGGTAAAGCGGCAGATATTCAAACCATATTTGTATTGCAAAAACGAGCGATTCGTTCTGTGTACCGTCTAGGCTCTCGGGTATCTCTCAGAGAAAAGTTTAAGGAGACTGGTATCATGACTGTGGCATCGCAGTACATTTACTCAAATATTTTATATGCCCGTAAAAATATACATAATTTCAATAAGAAAGAAGATATCCATAATATTAACCTTAGAGCTAAATCCAAACTCATGGTACCACGATTTCGTTTAACCAAGGTAAACAACTCTTTTATGGGGAACTGTATACGTTTTTACAATAAGATTCCGGAGCATATATTAAGTTTATCATTTCCTAAGTTTAAAAACTACATTAAAAATATGTTGATCGAAAAATCATATTACAAAATTGAAGACTACGTGTTAGATAAAGATGTATGGAAAGACGACATGGCTCCAGAATCCACACAAATTTGATTCAAAGTGTATTCCATAGCATTTAAGTTTATTTGAAAAGAGCAATCCCTAGAGTTTCTTGCTCGTTCTTCTCAGGGAGGTCAGCGTAGTGAACGAGCAGTAGCTTAAATGTGACGTTTTCAAGTGTAAATTTATTTTACCTATGGAATAAATAATCTTTGACTTTGACTTTGACTTTGACTTAAAAAGACTCTATCCCACTTGATCGGGAAAACTAGTCGGGATAAATAAAAAAAACCGGCTTGTCTAGATAATAAAAAATGCGTTGAAATTGTATCACATCACGATCTGATGATAAATAGCTATAAAACCACAATTTACGGAGCCTGTATAACGACTTCAAATAATTTCTAAATAACTATAGGATAAAATACTTCATCTCACTTGTTTAAAAATTATATTTATCAATACTAACTAAAACAAAAGTATAACAAAAAGTACATAATAATACGAAACACAAACTCTAAACAATAAAACAATAAAACTAAACATTTCAGAACTGATATATAGGTATGTGAGTATCTATTAATATTGTATTTTCTTGTTATTTACACGATCGAAATATCTTTGCAAAGACAGACTTTTTGGACGAAAGATGTTCTTCTACCAGCTTTTCAATATTATACATTGATTTCTGTTCCGGTTTATTATGATAGCAAACGTCAATAATAAATTAATAATTAATAAGTACTTATTTAGATTGTTAGGCTAGTTTGATGTCATTGATCATAAACCACGCTTTCAAACGTGTGATGTATGTTGACCATCGGTGTAGACCGATGCAGATGCACGTTAAATTCTTATATTTTTATTGCTGCTCATATCCTTTGCACTATTAATCGTCATAGCAACACGCACTTTTTACTTAAACCATAACATTATTTCAATGGTACATAGTGAAACCACCCAATATGAGACTAGCTTTTATTGTCGAACTAAGGTTGACAGAAAATACAATATTAATAAAATAGATACCCACATATATACAAATTAAATCACTTAGAAAGAAAGATACAAAAAGGAAAAATGAATTCATTTATCCTACTCAATTGGGCTATCATGTTGGAATAGGTGAAGAAACTGGATGTGCATTATTTGTCTTTGACACTGAGTTTGGAATTCTTAGACAAACAGTTACAGTTACGCGGGCGTCGTGCGACGTACAACGGCGCACCTTTCGGGCCGCATATCCTTCGGGCCTCCACGCTGCCCACTGGGAACAGCTTGCCTTGCTGTAATGTGAGGTCTACTACATAATTCACTCGAAGCAAACCTGATGGGTATAGGGGAATATTGTCTTCTTCTTCTTCTAGCTGCTTCTAGTCAATGAAAATACATTTGATTTATCATTTTATTTCGGACATAGCTACACATGCCTATGCCTACATATGCCATAGCCACAACGTAATCTAATAATAACACACACACTCAACATAGCCCCGCACTAGGGAAACCCTGTGTCGCGGGTGCCATGGACACACTAGACAACCACAAATTACACCCAAACTCACGAGAGAAATAAATGTAGGCCATACAAATATTTCTCCCGGCCTGGACCTCTGCGTGGCAGCCCGGCACGGTAACCGTTCGGCCACGGAGGCAGTAAATAGTAATTGGTTATTTATTATTTATATTTATTTACATTATTAAGTAATTGGTTAAACTGTGGTAATTCTATAGGTTTGTTCGATTATTAGGCAGTTAATGATTAGAAAAAGTAGTTTTTATTATTAAATATATAAAATTCCACTGCCTTAAATGAAAATCGAGGAATACATTCAAAATCTAAGTTTTATGTGTTTTAAAATGTGCCATGTGAAGCTTGTGGACATGCCAGTGTAAGGTTAGGGCATGCCTCCATGTTGCATCGGCCATCATCCTTCCTAAAATGAACTCCGAGAAACTTAAAGATGCCAGTCTGGATTCATACCCACTCACGGTCTCTGCTATATAGACGGTTACGTCAAACCATTCGTAGCCTACGGATTTTTATCAACAAAAATTTATTTAAAGCGTTTGTTTGATGGCGCAAACGGAATGAAGTTTGATTATCAGTGGAGCATTTATACGAAGATCTTACAATAGGCAAATCAGGTACAGCGACTTCACACCAAGCGTGAGCGCCGGCCGCTCTGTAGAACGAGCAGGGCAGACCGATGCGGTCAGCCAATACCTTGTACAGCAGCGCTCGCTCGAGTGCGCCCCCCACTTGAATCCAGCCCAGGCCCAATACGGGCGTGTTCAAATACGTCTGTCGAGGCAGATACGGTTTTATAATTTCTTCTTCTACTATATATTTGCTCAAGGAGCAGGGCCAGCTAGTTTTAATAGTTTCTACTACATTACAACTCACAAGTGTATATATTACTTGATCTATTAGTAAGTGTTAAATAGTTAAGAGCCATATTCATTGGCTATCATGTTAGCAAACATGTTTGCTAACTTATGGGGCGCTTTAAAAACGATGCACACCTGACGGAGCGCATTAGAGCGCAACTTCGTGTATTCATAGATCAACTAGAGATGTCGGTCTGAGATCGATTAATCGCACAATCGATCTCAAAACGATACTTGAACTTAATTTTTGTAACTGTTCTGTTTTTATTTCGTTTCTTTGTTATTTTTTTCACAAATTTCGGAGAGCATAATATTAGTAAATAAATATGGCTGTTTACAAAAATAACAGATTCTGGCCAAAAACGAAAGTTGGCGTATGTAGTGTTCATTGGAGGTATCGAAATGATCATTCTCTCGAAATTCATGGCAAAGGCAGAAGTACCTACATAGGTAATATTTAAACAAGAAGTGAATTCTCACCATCAAATCGGCTAAGTGCAAGTTAACACCGGACACGGAGCAATCTCTGTTCTGTGATCGACCACTCATTACTTCGCATACGTACTCAGCCAGCAGCTGCGCGCGCTCCTTCAGAGCTGACGATACTTCTGTGCACATCTCGCGGTATCTAAGATAGCGTATATATTTTTTTTTTATTGCTTGTGTTGTTATGATTATTCAAATAAGCATTTGTGTATTAATTACTGTGTTATTATAATATTACGTACTAATAGTCTCCTGATGTTTTAGGACGATCAAAAGAAAAAGACACGTACTACCTACACGTGTTTGTCACGCCACCACCCCACCACCCCATTGGTTTGTTTTGATCGCCTAATAAATATACTAGCTCATGAACGTGCTAGATTCTGGTCCGAAGTGGTTTTCTTTGCGTGCCAACATCTCTGTGAACAATATTATTGCTGACAAATCCAATTCCGATCCTCGCCTTGTTTTTTATATCAAAGTACGAAACCAAACAGTTGTAGTTTCACTAAAAGCTGCTTTGAAACGCAGAGATCTGAGGAGCACTGCGAATGTACTCGTCACCCTGAGACATAAGTTGACAAGTCCTATGAGCTTGTAACTTCACTAGCATTCTTAATCTTCAAAACAGGAACGCACTAGTATATAGGAATAACTGGTTCAGGCTCACAAAGTTTCTAGTCTACGTAGATCTCATGCTTAATCTTACCTGACATCATATATTGAGTCTTCAGCTCCAAGGTCAAGCATTGATTGTGTTCTGAAATGCAATGAAATTTTTTTTATGATATCATGAAGAAGTCGTGGAAATAGTTTCACGTACCGCCTCTCAAGCAGACACCATGGGTTTCACAACTTTCGGAAAACATGTTAAGTCCCCAACCTGTATTGGACCAGCGTGGCGGACTACGGCCTAAACGACACTCTTACCCTAACAGCAAGACTTGATAAGTCGCATGTGCCTACAAAAACTTAGCCTCTAAATGCAATAGAAAGTACTTACATGTACTTCAAGGTTATGAGTACATATTTTAAGTATCTCTACTCCCTGGTTCTAGTCGTGAATGTAAACGTAATTTTGGTATTTCAACTTCATTTCTGGTTCGTAAATGATCGGCAATAGGAACCTCCGAAGGTTTAGTGTTGCTGAGTACCTACCTACATTTGCTACTTAACATGTATTAATTAATGACATAAGGACTTCTGCAAAGAAACCTCAATGTATAACCATACGTTACGAAATTTTATTCGACCAAACAGCTTCTGAAATATAGGAACGTTATTTTATTTAAATATAATTTTGGGAATCTGAATACGAAAAGGCGGTTATGCTTTCTCGCTTTCCCACTTTTTAAGTTCTTTGTAATTTATATTGAATCTAAAGACGTGACGCCTATAAGGTGTCCCGACTACGTTTTGGTATAGGATTTTGCTAATAAGATGAAGCGCAAGAACACGCGAACACCTGCTATCTGTGGAATCCCCTAGCTATAAATTTTATTTCAAGATAATGTTGCGGAGATAACTAACGGATCTCCAAACCACATCTTCAGCTTTAGTAGATAGGTGCGCAGGTTGACATCCTCGACCTTGGGCAGAAACACTGACGCCGATGTTATCAGTTTAATGTTCGACGTTGATACCTTATCTGAGATATATAAGAAAATAATCAGACTAACAAATTAGTAAGTAATTGTTGGACACTGATATAATGACAATGACGATGGATACTGAACAACTATTTTTTTTAATCTAAATGGCGTATTTTACTTTTTTCAAAGAAACCAACATTTCGGGTCCTTTACGAACCCTATTTTCATGCCTGACTTATTTGACATATTTGAAAAAAATATTGTTTTATATACCATAAATGTCAGCCATGTTTTTATTGAAATGTTAATCTGCAATATGGTTACATGTTAAAGTCTGCAATATGGTCAAATGTCAAAATCTGCAATAACACCCAACTCGATGTCAAAATTTGCAATATGGTCAATGTCAAAGTCCGCAATATGGCCCAACATCAAAACTTGCAATATGGTGAAATGTCAAAATGATTAAAGTGCTGATGCAAGTCAATGTTTGCAATATGGTAAAAGTATGCAATATGATCTTGTAGCCGCTATGTGGCGCTAGTGAGACGCAAAATTGCTATAGCGTAATAATTGAATATAAGAGTCTTGGGGAGGTGCCGATGTAAATGAAAGTCCGTGACATGGTATGAATACTTTATAATGTCCGCTGTCACACTAGTCACAATAACTGCGTAACACTTCACCATAGAAAAATACAATGGTGTAGTTGGCCGGCAGGTTTCGCTGAAAGAGCGCATAACACGCGACCGCTTGGGAGCATGAACTCGCCAATTGGGCGGAATTGCGACTGACGGCTTCCGGTTATGCAATAACTCCCTCACAGTCACTCACGCGTGTCAGGGGGCCTACCATAACATTTCCAAAAACAATCTTATTTCAATGTAAGCATAAAGTAGGCTTATTGTAATATTACTCATTTTCGTACCATGACAAACCTATCAACCAAGTAATGTACTATTGCTAAAGTGACTGAAAGAACGAATGATTTTCCAATATTGTCTATTCCTTACTAAAGGTAGGAAAGAAATAACGCTATATGAACTGTATAATGCCATCTCTTTCTTTTTTGATGTTCCGAATCGTGTTATCGTAGTATAATGTTAAAGTACTTAATATTATTTACATTCAGAGAATTTTAACTAAAAATAAATAAAACAAGCTGAGTCTTGATAGTCACTTTGTGAATTCGGAACCATAGTCTAGTATCAACTGTTAGTTTCGCCAAGGAGCATATAGATGGCGCTGTCATAACTTTACGAAATAAACATCGAGTACTTTTATTTTACGAGAAATTATTTCCTATGTGCTATTAAATAAAAAATAAACAAAATATTGAAGAAATATATAAGTTCAATTTAACTTTTAATCATTACGAATCAATATTAAGATAATAAAACTGAAAATAATATTTTTTCCTTTGCATCCGTGTAACTATTTTAAGACTGCTAAATTTGACATAAGAGCAATATTACTTTAATGTCAAAGTCGCGTCATAGTAGTAATAGTAGTCACAAAGCTGCCTACAACTAAGCTTACAAATAAGCTTACTTTAAGCGCGTTATGATACGAAAAGTCAATGTAAGGTTAAAGTAATATTGTTTTAAGAGGTTGTTGTAGGCCCCCTGGGACGTACAGGGTTGCGCACGGGAAAACCTGCGCGTGCAATCGTGCGTGATTACTTGTTAGAAATTTTAAGCTAACGCTCTTTCGCGCGCTATTACTTGTGTTCGTTTTTGTTACAACGGAAAGAGCGTCCGTGTAAAGGCTAATAGCGCGGGATACACCACGTGAAACTGGCGTATGTTAGAGTGCACGATAGTGTCTGTGTAAAGCCCGCTACTATCGTGTTTCCTTCATGTATGTGTTATTATGCATTTACATTGCAGTGAGTTTTAAGGGTGGGCTGCACCCAAAAGTTCATATTATACGGAACTAAGTGGATTGAACTTACGCGGGTTGCGAATTATATCGACCGCGGAGAGAGGCTGGCAGTCCACGGGATTGAACATGACAACGTACACCGGTTGCCAGTGGGAAGGGGGTATGGTTGTTTCGTGGATCTTCGCTATCGTCGGGAAGTAGTCATCGAGACGCTTCTGCACGTAGAAACCTTCCTGTAGACATATCGACTG